GCAGTGGTCAGACTCCATCAGGAGTACCTTAAAAGTGGCTTTAAAATAGAGTATGTCTGGAGAATAGCAGCCAAGTTGGTGAAAGCTACCTGCATTTTGTTATAGAAAGGATGGGTGGAAAAGCTGTGGACATTGCAGAGAGGTTGAATTGTCACGTGAAAGGGTGATTACATTTCATCTCTGTTGCTTCAGAAAAAAATGGAGTTGTGTATGTGTTTAAGTCTTTCCAGATCTTATTCCCTTATCTGTGTTTGCTGGCCTTTGGTTATGATGTTTTGGCTTAATGTGCTTTTGATTTTTGACTGTGAACCCATCATCTTCCTTGGAAATTTATCTGTAGAAATTCTTTAAGGCCTAGGCTTGAAGCTCTGTTCTTCTAGGGAGCATCTAATACTTCATGCCAGGTCCATTTGAAACACAGTTCTGACTTTTCTAATGGGCCATCAGGTAGTGTATGGATTTAGATTTGCAGAACTGCATAAGGACCAATTTGATACCACAAACCTCAATGTAGATTTTTCTTTTTCTCTTATACCAGTGTCAGGGTATATGTGGGGCAATTGTTACTGAATTGCACAAATCAAAACTTGAAATCACTGAATTTTAACAAGTATCCTCAGGGAAAAAAGTCAACTTCAGTGAGCACATGTGCAATCCTGGATTCTCACTTTAATTTCTTTCTTTTTTTTTTTTTTTTTTGGTACGGGGGATCTAACTCAGGACCCTGTGCTTTCGAGGCAGGTGGTGGAACCACTGAGCCAAACCCCAGGCCCTTCATTTCATTTTTGACCTTCCTGAATATCTTAATGTTTTTGGTAGTTCGCAGATTTTTAAAAATATTTTAAAATTAGTATTTTGTATAGTCTGTTTGTTTTCAGTTGAAGAGTGGGTCAAGGTGTCAGGAACTGAAGTCCCTCTGATTATTGTAAAGAATTGCTGGCAACCTTGTGATATAAGGCTTCTTTTGACAACTTAGCATATTTTGGTGGTGGAGGGTGATATGGAGAGATCTCCATATTACCTAGTGTTATGGCTTGTGTTTAGGTGTTCCCCCAAAGCCTCATGCTTTTTTCTGAGGTGGCTGAATGTATTGTGTGTGATCCTGGGATTAAGGGTGTGTGATTACTAAACCACATGAGTGATTGGTTTGGCACTGCCTAATCCTGGTAGTCTGAATGAGATAAAAGGGGCAGGAAAACATTGTTAAGGTCCCTTGTTGCTTCTGCTATCTTCTACCTCCATGAACTTTTGCTGCTCTGCCACCCTGCCTTGGAGCCAGCCAATCATGGACTGAATCCTCTATGAACTGTGAGCTAAATAAACTTGTTCCCCTTTAACTTTGGGTGTTGGGTATTTTGTCTCAGGGACAAGAGAAAAGTAACTAAGACAGAATGTGTAGTTTATGTGGAACATTTGTATAGCATGCCAAAGACTTTTGGTTCAGTCACAGCACTGCCCAAAAAACTGGCAGAAGGTTAATATGTGGATAACCTTTGGAGTCTCTTTTTTTAATTATGAAGGTATATAGTTTTAGGTAAAGTAATCATTTTTTTTTTCTCTTGAGTATTTACCATTTGGGCCTGGACTAATAATATTGAGTGACATTTAAATCTGTTTCCTCTAAGAATAGAAGTTTCTAATATCTTCCAAGTATTAAAAAAATGAATCTGCACCAGAACTTGTATTAATCCACACTGTGTTTTTGAAATCACGTTCTGAATCTGAAATTGTTGAACAAAATTAGATTGGCACTTGAGCCTTCACCCCAGTGTAAACATGCAAGGTTTATTTGTGGATGGTTGGCATCCTTGACAGGTGTTGCATTTTTCAAGATGAAATCAGTTAAGATGCCCCAGGATTTTAATTTTTTTCTGTCAAGGATTTAGTATAAAGCCCCCTCTTCTGCTCCCATCTGTCCAATTCATGCCATTGTTCAAGATTCAACTCTTTATCATCCTCAGCTTTCTTTTCCATTGTAACACTCAGTGAATATACTGTTGTTTGAGCCCTGCTGATGCAAGGATCAGTTTCTGTCTTCAGTCTGAGTTCTCTTGGCTTTAAGGATTGTATTTGAAAGAAACAAAAAATTTAGAACAATCAGTTTCCATTGTCTAGGTTAAAACATTTTTTCATTTTAGCTCTGGGATAAATTATTTTAGCTGTCCAAAAACTTCTAAATAGACAAAGACTCAAAGGCAAATGGAGGAACTCAGAAATTCCTATGTGTGATGGACCTGTACATGTGCATATTGGTCATCTGGACTAGAGGAAAGTCGAATATAGAAATGGTACTTAATATCCTGGTATTAGTGTACATTAATAGTTTTGTAAATGCAAATTTAAGGGACTCCACAGAGAATAAGAATTGTTACTCAGCACTAAGAAAATATTTTGAAACCCCTTATGTTCATGTAATATATGCTGTCATAATACAGATATGGTTTATATGGAGAGTTCAGGATTTTTTTCTGTCCACTGCAAGCATTTTTCTCTGTTTGTATTGTTTTGTGAATAATCTGTCCAGTAAAAGTATGGAGTCTGGGAGACCGTTCCCCCTTTGATGTTATGAAATAACAACTCACCTCTTTGCCAGTTCACTCCATTGGCTATGGGTACATTCATAGATTTCAGCCAGTGAGAAGATTCTCGAGTGAGCCAGGTCTCTTGTATTAAAGTAGTCGTTCTCATCACTTAGTTTCAGGACCCTTTAAGGACTCCTAAAAATTACCAAAGATCCAACAGCTTATTATTAATTGGTTCACAAATAATAATAAATGTATTATGTTCTAACATCAGAACAATGATGACACATATTGTGTAATATCTAGAAAATTTTACTGTACAATCATGACAAAACAAGAATGAAAACAAGTAACATCTTAGTATTATTATGGGATAAAGTTCGATCTTACAGAGCCCCTGCAAATCTTTTTTTCCATATATTAAGATAGCTATTGGTTTTCCTGCAGGAAGGGTTCTTATAATTGAAGCTTGACTGTCACAGTTTTAAAACATTTTTAAAGCTGTATTTGTGCCACATTTACTAATAAGAGGGAATAGAAGCTGAGTGGAAAATGGAGTTTTTAGTTGATCAGCAGGAAAGCCAACTAATAATCAGAGACATTGTCCAGCCCCTGCCAAAGCCACAAAATAGAATTGAGTGGGTATATTATCAGCCCCTGCAGACGGGAGGTAAGTGGTACCTGGATCCACTGGAGTCTGCCTGCCTTCATCTCAGTCTGGAAGCCATATAGGCAGCTGGAAGGGGTCAGGAGACCTAAGAATAACACTTACGTCAAACATAGAAAGTAGAGTAGTTCTGGTGAATGAAGAATTAATTATTTCAATCAAAATAGGCTTATTCAACCATGCTTATAATGTAAAATGCCCTTAGGATATGCCATTGACACTTTGGAAGTCAGTGTCAAGGAATCTGAGTTGAATGTTAAAAATCCAGCACTGAAATTAAGTATAAGAAAAAAGCTGTTAAATGTAGGGCATACAAAAGAGTATTCTAGTGAAATGCAGAAGAGACAGTTAATTGTTCTGTTTCAGGCAAGTAATTTGGAAATAGGGAGAGGTTGTCTTTCCTCTCCATTTTCTCATGCTCTCAAGTAAATTTCACAGAATTTCTCCTCCAGGTGACAGGTTGTATCTCAGTGTGTCCAAAATTAATTTTAAAAGTTAAAATGTTAGTTGACAATTTCTAAAGTTCGAGGTTTCAAGGGTAGATATGTTGTGTTAACAGATATTTAGGTTGTCTATTTCTTCCATGGCCTATCAGCACACAAGATAGAAAATGGTATTCCTTACTCTTTTATATAGCTATACCCTGCTGGTTGTTTCCTACTTCTAAAGTTGTTAAGCAGCAAAGAAACTCATCATCCATTAATAATGCTGCTGAATTATTCAGAGAAATCCTTACCCATAATAAGTGGTAGTTATGACCATACAGTTTCTCTTTTTTCCTGACTTTTTTCTGAGGGGTACTTTAAATCCCATCATCACTGTTAAACTACACAAGGAAAGTCAAGTATCTAAAGAATTTGCATTTGAGCTTCAGTGATTTGCTTGGAATTGGGGTACTTTGAATAAAATAGGGAAATATGAAGTGTTTGACTAGTAAAGCTATGCTTACTAATCCAAAAAGTATTTTCAGAAAAGCTGTAGCAACAAAATAATACTTTTCTATTTCCTTTTCCTGGGGTTCCTCACACGGGTGTTGAGGTTAGGTTTTTCTGTTTTGTATCTACACCAAGCTGCTTCCTTGTTTGTGCAGGTTTCTCAGTAATGACTACTCCCTGACCTATAAAATGTTGCCACAATCACCAGATCACCAGATCCAGAGATCTCCTTTATACGATTCTAGTCCTAACATTCTCTGTGTCTTGTTCAGTCCTTCCTCTGTGTCCCCTTTTCACTTACATGTTTTCAGAAGTGTCCTCTCAGGGCTTCCAGCAATTTTTATCCCTCTCAAACCTGCCATGTGTTCGCAGTAGAAGACCCAAGTAAGAAAAGCTTAAGAGAGTGGGCCTATGGATGGAGGGAAATGATTTGAGAGACTTGCATTTCATTATAAGTGCTTCTAAATGGTAGACATTTTACTCATATGTTTATAATTCTTTGATCAAAATCATCATTCTTGATGAGTGCAGAATGGCCCTATGAAGATACTACTATGACCCATATTATTCTTCTACTGAATACCCTTGGGTGTTGTCTTGTTTTCTAGATATCATCAACATAGTCACAGTTATGTAGCCCTGAGCTTCTGCCCATGTGTTTTCCCTCTGCCAGGAATGCAGACTCTGTTGATAGGGCTTTTGGTCATTATGTCAGAATAGTCCCTGGAATGGTGTTTCGTAGAGGACCCTGTAGTTGCCCTAGTTTGGTGTAACTGGTGGCCTGGAAATTCTTTGCCCAGACTGAGCAGGGATGCCTCATCTGAACTGAGGTGAACTAATTAAATACTTTGGCTTTCCTCTACCCTTTTCCCACAGCAGTCTGAGCTATCAGCAGAAGAAAGTCCAGAAAAATTAGGAACCTCTCAGCTACATCATCGGAAAATTATTTCCTTGAACAAGCAGATTCTACAGAAGACCAAACATCTGGAAGAGGTTAATGTTTTCTTTGTATAAATTCAGTTAAGTCAGTGAAACCATTCTTCAAAGAAGGGAGAAATTGGGAAAAAAAAAAAAAAAGTGAAGCTCTTCCTGCTAGATTGATAGAGGAGATTTTAGAATAGGGGTTAGCATGTGCAGTTCTCAGCTCAATCCAGCTATGCCTTATTTTATAGATGAAGTTTAATTAGTACATATGAACACCAGTTTGCTTTTATATTTTCTTTTTGGGGGCAGGTACCAGGGATCAAACTTGGGACCTTGCATGTGTGAGGCAGGTGGCGGCACCACTGAGCTAAATCCCCGGCTACTTACATATTTTCTGAGGCTGCTTTCAGGCTACAGTGATAGAGTTGAGTAATTGCAGTAGAGACCAAGTGACATGCAGAACCTAAAATATGTACTTTCTGGCCATGTATAGGAAAAGTTTGTCATGGCAAGAATAACATTCAGTCACAACTACTTATTGAATACTATTTTATGCTAAGCACTGAACCAAGGTATAGGGAAGAATGAAGAACATATGATCCCTGCTCCCAAAGATCCTAAGGTCTGATGGGAAGAAATACACTAAACAAAACATGCATTGTGCCCATCATCATTTATTTGTAGCTGTGATGAGTGCTTGAAGAAGAAGTCTAAGGCTCTAAGAGAGTGACTGATAGGGAGACCTAACCTAGCTTCATGTCACAGAGGACGGATCCTAGAAAGGTGAGTGGATGTTGGTTAGGCAGGAAGTCTGCACAGGAAGCGAGGAGGTCAGGGGTGGGGATCTATGAAGTAACATGAACAAAGTCCATGGAGAGGAAGAGTTGACCAGTTTTTGTTCTGTGGTTGGAGGTCACATAAGTGAGGTTGTTGGTCAGTAGAGTCTGATCAAACAGGACCTTCCAGGTCATTTTAAAGACAAACACTTGAGTGTTGAAGTAGGTGAGTGACATGATCCAATTTGCATGCTGCAAAGACCATTCTGTTTGCTGTGTGAGCATGAATTAATTGGATTGAGAAGGGTTTCATAGAGAACCAACTGTAAGGAGATTGATAACAGTAGTCCACATGAGTAGTGGATGACAGGAGACATGGAGGAAATGGATTGTTTTTAAGAGAGCTGTTGGAGATAGCATTCTGTAATACTTGATGGTAGATGAGATTATTTTAGAAAGATCTTAGGTTTGCCCTGTAAAGTAGAGGACACTGGAGAGTTTGACTCAGGAAAGTCATTGCACAATAAAAAGTTGTTATATGCTTCAGTTGCATGGGCAATAATTTTTAATTAGACATGTAGCAGATTATAGGGATTAATACGACTTTTTGTAAGAGTTCATAGAAGCTGCTGTAACAATTGATTTTTCAAAAATGGGTGCGAGTTGGTATTTTGAGCTTGTTCATTTTTCATTCTTGCAAGTTTCATGTATTCAAAAGATACTAACATATCAAATAATTTTGGCCATTCCTTTCTTTGTTTGAATTGTTAGAATTTGTTCTACCACAATTAAATAAACAGTAGGTTCATTTTACCCAAATGCTCTGGACCATAAGCAAAGAAAGATGCATAGATTGACTATGATTTGGTTTTTGTTCAGTAGTTTATTTAAGCATCATAATGAGTTCTTAGCTCAGGGATATCATCCTCCTGATCATAGCCAGTGATTAGTAAAGAATGTTTGAGTGATTGGTTCAAAAGAAACTCATCACTGAGTCAAGACAGCAGGGATAAAGAGTGAGGCTTCTTTATCACAGTATCTTTACCCCTGAGGGAGGATAGTTGATGGTTTGAAGTTTTCAGACCCTAAGGGCCAGAGCATTTCAACACAACTGGATGTTTACTTCTGCCTCCTGTCTGAATTTGGGAAGCAATGCTGAGCTTCATTCTAAATGGCAGTGCTGGCCCGATTCAGTCCACCTGAGAGGGACAATCCTTCCCAACTTTTGCATCTGTTTTGCAGTTCAGAGCCTTGTCAGGAGCTTCCCTGATACTTTTCAGGCATACTGCCTTTCGAATAGCAGGTTCTCAATAAAGGACAGTGGTTACTATTGTGATGGTTAGTGTTATTAAAGCATGAGAGAGCCCGGGGATTTAGTTCAGTGGTTTTACTGCCTGCTGCGCAAGCACAAGGACCTGAGTTCAATCCCCAGTACCAAAAAAAAAAAAAATGGGCTGGGGTTCAATCCTTAGAACCAGGGGAGGGAAAAAGAAAAGAAAAAGATGACCTGGCCATGTAGCTTGAACAATTAGATGAGAAAACAGGAAGAGAGAATTGACATTTTAGAGATGTAGGTTTAACAGTTATATACTTTGAACAGTAAAGGTAATTTATTTTATTTCTCTGAGTCTTGAAGTTCCAAAACCTTTCTTACATTTGGCATCATTAGCCGAGTCATACTCTGCTGGGATCTTGAATGTTAAAATGCATTTTGTAGTCTGTGAACAGGCAAGTTGGTTAATGGAGTTGATTACAGCCACAGAAAAGTCATATAGATCTGAATTTGAATCCTGCCTGTATCATTTGTCAGCTAGGAGACTTTAATCAGTAACTTAACCCTTCTTCTTTCTTTCTTTGCCTGTAAAATAAGAACAGTGTCTTCTATTGAATTAAGAATTCAGTGATAGAATACCTATTAAATGGCCTGACACACAGTCGGTGCTGATTAAATAAGAGGTGGATTATGTTTTAATGTGTTATTTGCAACCCTTCTAAAATTCCCACATTGGCTTACTTTAAATGTTTTTGAGTTTCCGTTTTTCTCATCTGTGAAATGGGGCTCCTGTCCATACCTGTGTTGTTCTAAGGATTAAATAAGACCAAATATCTTTATCTTTTATTTACAGTTGCAAGCAAATCATACCAACCTCCAAGCCAGATATAATGAAACGAAGAAAACACTAACAGAGGTGAGCAAATCCTCCTTCTGTGGTCTCTGGTTAGAATTGTTTCTAACCAGCACTGCTAATGGAATGCCAAATTTTATCGACCTTTGTAGAGGAGACACACTCTGTCCTCAGAGGTCTGTCTGTTTCAGAACATAGAAAAGTTGAATAATGACATATGACTCCTGCCATTAGTTTATCCATGCTACAGTGTTCTAAATCTTCAGTGGTCTTGGGCTTGTAAGGTCAGGAAAGGCTCCCTGGGGCAGACCAGCCCAGCAGGCAGGGGCCACAGAGAAGACCTTTTGGGGTCTCACACTGTGCATGGACACTGCTTCTCAAGCACCAGGTCATATAAGAGCTCTCTGTACTGAATACCTTGAGTGCATGAAGGTTTCTTGTGAAAGATAAAGAATCTCAGAGTGGTGAAATTTGTTTTCAGGATTACCAGCCATCTCCTAGGTATAATGGGAGAGGCCATCACAGGAGAGAGAAGAGGGCTGGTGGGTACATTTGAGCCATGCATTTCAGTTTGCCATCTAGGTTGCAAGTGTGCTATCTCACACCAGCATCACAGCATGGCTCACCTCCCCCTTCTGATTGCCTAGGAAACCAGGCAAGGAACAGATGTCTCTGATGCCATCTCTGTTGGGAGGAAGATTTAGATATTTCTGTCCCTTGCCCTTCCACAGAAAACTGTCTTCCTCTGGATCTGAAAAGCACTCTGTAGTGATTTTGGTACTTAGGCTGTGGCTATACTCTGGAAGGGCCTTACTGCAAGGTCTCTACCTTGTACTGTTAGACAGCTTGGAACTTAGGATACTGTAAGACATCTCTAAAACCAAGCCAGTCCCCACTTTTATAAAGTTTCACATGAAATTTGCCTGTTAAAAATTCTTACTTCTGGGGCTGGGGATTTAGCTGAATGGTTTCGCTGCCTGCTGTGCAAGCACAAGGACCCGAGTTCGATCTCTGGTACCAAAAAAAAAAAAAAAAAAAAATCCTTACTTCTGATGCTCACTTCAGCAGCACATATACTAAAAAATTCTTACTTCTGTAGCATGCACTAATTATTCATCACCTTGTTATAAACCTGACAAAGCTTTTTAGTTCTGGCCAGCCCTGATCTCTTCAGTAATTGTCCTAATATTGAAAAAGGATAGGACTCAGCTGAGCATGGTAGCACTCACCTGTAATCCCAGAACTCAGAAAACCTGAAGCAGGAGGACAAGTTTGTGGGGAGAAGTTTGAGGCCAGCTGGGCTACACAGTGAATTTAAGTCCAGCCTGACTCAAAAAGATAAAAGAAAAAGGACAAGCCTCGAGAATGGCTATTAAAATAAGAATATTTTCATTTTCTCTTAAAAGGTCTGTGTTGCATTTAGACAGTTTGGCTTCCTTTACACTGATCTGTGACTACTTTCCTTATGGATTAGATTCCAAGTTCCTGGGAGTGGAATCCCTACCGCTTTATTACTTTTAATGCTAGAGTCATGGTTCAGTCTTTGTGTAATAATCTGGAAGAGATTTAAAGGCAAAACATCTTGATACTGGTTTTTAGGACATTTTTCTGTGCCTTAGGATGTAAATCCTAAGTGGTGGTAAAGTGCTTTTTTATACTAAATATTGAATCAAGGATTTGTTGAGCTTTTTTCATGTCCTAGAACTATGGAAGAAGTGATTTAAATCATTAATAAGGGGAAATCTCCTGTCCTCAGGTAAAAACAGCAACATCACTAGGTGCTGGGTGTGCACTGAACCCAGTGCTTGTATTCAGCCATTAACTCATTACAATGACCCTAGCAACAAGCAGTTTTCATCTCTGTTCTATCAGTGGGGAAACTAAGGCTAAATCCCTTGCTACAGGGTACCAGAATTTCAATGGAGGTGATCTGGAATCAAGACCCTGCCAGAGAGAGTGCCATGTAGTAGGATAAAGTCATTTTCATCTACAAAAATGGGAAGCTGTGCCGAACCTACTGCTGAACTACTTAGGAAGAAGCTTGTTCAGCCTGTGAATGACCCTCCCCTCTGGACCTGGGTCTCCCTTAGGAGAGACCCTTCTGCCCAATTTAAGGCAGAAGTTGGACTAATGAACTCTTTTATGCCAGGACGCCCAGATTTTATCTCTTCAGCAAAAACTCCCTTTCCAGGATAACCTAGTGGCACTGAGAACAGAAAAGTGTTATCTTTTCAATAAATTTATGAAAAGTAAAGCCAAGGCATGGAAAGCAGCAAGCAAATAGATGGCAGGAGCATGTGATACCCATATGGAAGGCTGCACAGCTGCCTTTTGTACTGGTCCAAGTTGGCAGCACAGTCTGTCAGGTCTAGCTTGTCTGCTTGCTAACCTCACCAGCACAGCCTCAGTTTCCTATGTGTAAAACTGATTCTTTTTAGTATGCATAGCATTCTCTCATGTCTCATAGGGCATTTATTTTATCTAAAGTTTTTCTTGCTGTCTATTTCTTCAGATCAAAATTCACTTGTTGAATTGATACACCTTTTTAATGATTTTATCTTTCTCCACATGTTCAGGATTCTTAATTGTGGGGTCATCTTTGATGTTCAAATTTCCTGCTGTGATCTCTCTGGATGCTGTATCCATTCTACCCAGCCTACTTTGTATAGGGTTAACACTCAATAGTTTCATACTGATATTGTAGCATTTACCAACAGATTATGCAGATTCCAGTAACATGACACCACAGATAGTGGCTTCTTTTGGTTTGGGTCAGGGAACTCCCCATTTCTCCTGATTTTTCCTAACCATCTGGGGCTCTGCCCAGCCTCTGAGACTCAAGCACCTGCCTTTATATTTAAGGGAAACAGGCTTCATTGCTTCTCCCTTCTGGCTGTTGCAAACACAGATCTCCATCTCTGAAAGCCAGTCCTTCCTCTGTCTGCTAGTCTACACGGCTGTCCTTCTCAGTCCCTTTCTGTATGCAAACCCTCTTTATTGTCTCATGAGTTAATGTCTATGTTCTTGCAAAATAGTGTGGATTGTTTAGGAACCTGGGGCAAGAAGGAGTTGCTGTAACTTGTTCTTGGTCTGCTGTCTTCAGTTAGAACTCCTGGAACTTTCTTTTAAACTTTTGAAATAGGAAGCACATTCACACAATTCAAAATTCAGAAGTACAAAGGGTATACTCCTGTCACCGCCCCCCATCCATTTGCTCTCTCCAGAGGTAATCTTTTGCTCTTGAATCTTCTTAGAACTACAACTTTACAAGCAATTATGTATACAGTGGTACTTTGGTTCACGAACACTTTTGTTCGCAAACAATTTGGCAAACTTTTGTTTTTGTTTGTCAGCTCGGCATTGGCCATCTTTCCCACACAAACACAAATGTGGCCATCTTTTCCAAAATCATAGAGCAAATTAAGTTCCTGAATGGAGGCACCACTGTATATTCTTTATACATATACACATTCAATGTTTGCATTCCTTGCCATACTTACAGTTTTGTACCTTATTTTCTTCACCTAACAGTAGATATTAGAGATCATTTTAAAACAGCTGCTTTACCTTTATTAAACATTACAGCATCATATCCTGCTGTATGCAGTTACTGTATACTTTCTGTATTAAAATATGAGGTTTTTCTTTATCTGCCTCAGAAGAAGAAGGTGAATTTATTCAGGAGGCTAGGAGAGTTTAGCCCTGCCATGCAGTAATACTCTGAGATTGAAACCCAGGTCTCTGTCCTTACAGCCACTCTTTTTCTTACCTCCTTACTACCAAAAGTACTTGCTCTTCCCATTGCATTTGGTTTTCCATCCATTTGCTGCTGTGATTTGAAGCCTTATCAAGCCTTCTTTATCCAACAGAATATGTCTAGAGGAGTCTGATTTTGACCTTCCCTTGCTGCCTTTCCACTCCCATTCTGTTTCTCTGGTTCATCTCTTTTTCTCAATGTACAGCCAAATCCAGGCTTGACCAGCTGTTGGAACCTGGGTTTGGGTATGAGTTGGTAGGAAGAAAAGCAAATTGCACCTTCCTCTCTATTGCTGAGCCTCCCCCATTCTTTATTGCAGTTGAAGAGTCATAGTGAGAAACTGGACAAAGAGCAAGCAGCCCTTGAGATGATAGAATCTAAAGCAGATCCAAGGTAAGAGATTTCAACACACACTTGTTTTCCCTTTGAAGAAAGTAACTTGGCCAGTATTTGGGGACTTAATTTGTTTGTGCACAGTACAGAGCAGCCAGAAATCATGGATTCTGGGCCATGTAGGTAAGTTAATTGCACGTAGCCATTGCCATCCAGAAAGGGGTGCCTGTGTGCTCCTGTGCTTGCTGAACTGTCCTTGAGCTACGCTAAGTTAATCACTTCTCTCCCAATTCCCCTTTTAACAGAAGCATCCTGTTTTTCTGTTGTTATTGTTTTTAAAAACAGTAGTTCCTGGGATTTAGCTCAGTGGTGCCTTCGCCTGCTTTGCAAGCACAAGGTCCCAAGTTCCATCCCCAGTACCAAAAAATAAAAACAAAACAAAACAAAAACAGTAGTTCCTTCCATATGGGAAAAAGTCTCCCTTCAGCTTCCCCCAACCCAGTTCTGAAGTCATCCATTACCAGATTTTTAACAGCACACATCCTAGCCATGTGTCCTTGGCAGAAAAGATGTAGTCCTTTTTGCCAAGACCAAGCTGCTATAGTTTTGTTGTTTGGTTTGACCCACCACTTCCCAAGTAAGATTAATTATATTTAGAAGAAAGAATGTATTTAACATTCAACCTTTTTTTTTTAATCTCCGGATCTTTTGGTTGGTAAAAATCTCATGTCACTCATTTGAGTGAAATTGTGAAATAATAAAAAGTTTCAGACAGTATGAGCAGTTCTGGCTTGATAGATGATATTAGCAAAAAGTATCCACAGATCACTTGCTTTTTAAATTAGAAACCTTTCTTTCATGATATGAGCAAAGTGCTATCAGATAGTTGACATTTTTATTTTCGAATTACTGCTTTTTTAAATAACCTTAAGCAACTTGTTTCCGTTTCAGAATAGATGTTAAAAATGGTTTTTGATACTATCTGTGGCCTGCATATAGATTAATTGGTATCATTAAATATATCCATTACTATTGAAACTCATTGATGTATCTACAGTTGACATTTTAATTCTGGAATCTGTAATGTTTGTTTGGATCTGCCTGATGGTCTTGGGTATATAAATGAATAATAATATCAGTTAAATGGAAGTCATTACTATTTGTGAAGAACCCATTAGACACTCTTGGGGGAGACAAAGGAAATTTAAAATGGAGTCCTTTCCAGCTGAGCTCTGGTTTTAGCTATGATTCATGAAACCATAATAGCCTGCCATATGTCTTTTTTTTTTTTTTGGTCTTTTTCTCTTTAGTATTCTGCAGAACTTGAGAGCACTTGTAGCCATGAATGAAAATCTGAAAAGTCAGGAACAGGAGTTTAAAGCACATTGCCGAGTAAGTGTGGTTTGGTGTTGGCAGACAAACCAGGACTTTTGTAAAAGCTGTTGGTTTACCTCCACGGAGCTATTGGGGTATCCTATCTCATACAGTGTAAAAAGCAGACCTATCACTCAGTTATGTAGCAGTCTTGTAGGGACACCAGAGTGAGATAACTGTGTGCCAAGCCCCAAAATGGAAAGGGTTGTCCAGTAAACAATTGTAACTAATTTACAAATGTTTTGTAAAGAAATATCTTTAAAAGTTTTAAAAAGTTTATCATATTTTGTTGACAGATGGCTCTTGTGAAAAAGATAATATCATATAAAGCTGGGGCTATACTAAAAACCTAGAATGCCTTTGTGCCTCATGTATAAGCCCAAGCTGCTGCCATCTGGATGCTTGTATTTTAGTGGTGTGGGAGGCCTGTGCACAAGTGATTGCATCAGGAGGCAGCAAATGAGGCCCAGCAAGTCGTCGGATGCGCTCCAGGGGAGAAAGACCAGTCCTACAGGAGCCATCAGGAAGCTGGATCTTAGGGCAAGGGAGATGGCAAGGTGGGCAAGTGGATGAGGCAGAGATGGGGAGAGGAAGCAGATGAATCTAACTGAAACCATGCTCTAAGCCTCCTGTTCATTTCATGTTCGAGTGACGACTGCACAGGTCAGTGGCCTTTTAGAAAACCCCTTTTCAACTGAGGGATAGCTGGCTTTATCCTCCTGAAAAGAACTCTCTCAGACTGAAAACTGGGATCAAAGCAGCTTGTTCCTAATTGGTTTGTTACTTGTAGCATAAACTCCTTCATGAAAGTGAAAATAAAGACTTCTGAATCAGTAGTATTTAAATAATTTCATCCTTATAAATTTCATATTGGTTTTAAAGGAAGAGATGACACGGCTGCAGCAGGAAATTGAAACCCTGAAAGCTGAGAAAACACCAGATGAAAAGGTAAAGGCTTGATTGGGTCCTCGGGAACACCAGCTGCTGTGACGACCTATATGGGACTCACCATTCCAGTGCTAGGAAGGACTTCCCTTTCACTTAACCCGAGCCTGTAAACATTTCTCAACTGTTTTCTTCTCGTGATTTTCTTAGACTCGTTTCTGTCTTTTCTGTTAGGGTGTAAAAGGCAGTGGGGGATATAGAAGGAGCAACCACAGGCACAAGTTACCAAGTCATACAACTCTCACCTCTTCCTCAGTCAGAAAATGTCTATCTGAACTACTTCCCATTCCACTTGTTCTTTAAATTTTCTTTCACCCTCCACCCATTTCACTCTCCTCCACGCCTGCCTGGGTATATGTCCCATTCACAAAAGACAGCAAGGAGCATGAAAGAGGAGAGTAGTGCTGGGATTCCTGTTAAGAGTTGCAGGACTGCAGGAGCATTCTGGATTTAAGGAGCCCACTCTGACCAGCTGGATCTCTGAGTAAAGGACTTGCTGTTCCAGGCACCTAGCATAGATTTCCATTGAACATTTTGTTAAAAAATAGAGATGGGAAAATATACTGTTTCTTTTGCTAACGAAGATTATAGGGATCCCTGTGATTTTGGTTTTTGTTCTCACACTTTACTCACAGTTTATAAACTGAGGGTCCCTGTGCTTAATAGGGTGTGAGAATTAGGTATGACCTGATGGCTTATGGATTGCACCTCCCTCACCCTTATGTAAAGGGGACCTCAAAGCTCTGAAGGGAAGAAGAGACTTCTCCGAGCCAAACAGCAGCAGGGTCCCACTGCTGGGCCTGGCACTCTGCACTGACTGCTCTGGGCTGTGCAGGACACTGTCATATCCAATGGTGAGAGCCAGGCCTTGGAAGGACCTCTTCACTCATTTCTGCCAGGCCACGTAGCTTCACGTCCCTGTGGGAACTGGCCTCGTGAGGAGCACAGCCGGGATTGCAGCAGTGTCCTGCACCATCACCACACAGTCTGTCTTTATAATTGCTTCTCACACTTTGAACCCTTGAGGCATGTTCATCAGTTCATCCAGCCCCTGAGTTTACACAGATCACAGACTTTCAGGTTTACCTTTCTTACCTTAGTGTATCTTATTAAAGGAATTCTTACCTTTAAAAATAGCTACAACTCACTATGTTAGGGTTTAACTGACAGACATTGAAGAACTATTTAAAATCTAGGGCTCAATATATGGGCTTTTTGCTTTCTGTTCTCTCTTTAGACATGCTGAGTGAACATCAGGGCATTTCCTAGCTCCACTGTTGTTCTCGCCTCCCACAGCCTTCCTGCATTAGGCTCTCAGCTTCCATCCTATTCGCCTTTATCAGGAAAGGTGTTTATTTTGCTTTCATCCTTTCAGACTCTCTCCAGTGGAGAGCTGCATGGTGTGCTGACCTCTGTAATGACTCACAATGTAAGTACCTGCCCATTCTCAATGTTGTACTCGGAGCCTGTGGCAGCCTTCCATTCTCTCCATCAGTTTCTCACTCCTGCTTCAATGATCTCCTCAGCCATCTCCTCATCTGCTGGGCTTTTGGGGCACTATACCTTTCTACAAACCTAGCTTCTCAAATGGAGACAAGGCCTCACCAAGAATGGTCCTCATGCTCACCATTCTGGTTGGTTTTTTCCCAGTCCAGGATGTGAGAGTTTTGTCTTCACAACAGAGAAAGGGAGGCCTGTGCTGGTCTCTGTCTATAGTAAACCTCCAGGAGAAAAAGAACAGGAAAAGGATTCGGAAAGGAAAGGCAGGAAACCTCTTTGTAACCTGCTAGAAGACTAGGTCTCGACACTCCAGCAGTGCAATCTCTTAGAGGTTGCCTATAACTGAGCCCTGTGGAGGACAGTGTGTGTGTGTGTGTGTGTGTGTGTGTGTGTGTGTGTGTTTCTGCACATGTGTGTAGATGCATACATGCTGGTGACAAGGGCATTTCTGACCCCTTTTGTAACTTTCTCTGAAGCAGCAAAGCTTCCAGTTGTGACTGTGTTGGTTGAATGCAGGGTAATATCTCTTCTCCATATAAGTACTGTCAAGTAGAACTTTCTATAATGATGAAAATGTTCTTTGTCTGCACTAATGTAGTAACTACCAACTACATGTGACTACCAAGCACTTGAAATGTGGCTGCTACAACTGAAAAACTAGTTCGAAAAAATTTTAGTTCATGTAAATTTAAATAGCCATATGTGGCTAGTGGCTGTTATATTGGACAAAAAACAGAAATCCACCATCATTCCCAAGCAGAGACATAGAACAATAAATTCTAACTGCCATATCATCACCACAGTCCTTTTTTTTTTTTTTGATGTGAGGGAAGGGTACATAGATGTGGAAGTCACTTCATTTAACACTGAATTCAGCCAAGATCCCTGACCAAAGAATTGTTATAACATGCTGTAAAAGGGTGTACAGGGTCTTACATGAAAATAGAGTTTAAACTTGGCTATTTGGCAAAAGAAGTTTGAGGTCTCAGGATGGGGAATATATGGTAATACATTTTCATCTTCCAAAGACTCCATAAAAAATAAAGTTTTCCATTTCCAGATAATCATGGCCTTTTTTCAATATTTAGGAAGACCTAGACAAGCGGTATAATATGGAAAAAGAGAAACTTTACAAGATCCGCTTACTACAGGTGAGTAAAAGCAAGAACAAGCAATATACAAATACATCTAACTAGTGTGAATGTCCTGTTAGAGAACTGAGAAGTCTCATTGTATAAGAACTAGCAGGAACAGGTAATGAAGAGTGCTGTTTACTAGTCTCCTTTCTAGCTGGTGTGTCACATCATGATTTAAGATGTTGGTAAGAGGATCTCACATTGCTGTGTTACTTTCACCATCACTGGTTTGAATTCAGTTTTACCCTGGTGGAAAGTAAGTATTAGCCTTGTTTTCTGTATGAAAAGATAGACTCAAGTAGGTAAAGTATTTGTCCCAAACCACTTACTAAGTGCAGCATCAAGCCAGCTAGAGGGAATCTGCAATAAAACCAATAGCCTGTTGAGGGCCCAAGGCAGGCAGTGGCAGGGACATGCATGAAATAAGTTGGCAGGATAGAGTGAGGAGCTGCACGTGATGGGATTTATGAGTTAGGTGGGGAAAAGGAGTCAGATGGGAAATGAGAGCAGCTCCTGAAAGCTGACCAGAGCTCAATGGAGAGAATTGCTGCTGGGAGTCAGGAGAGTTAAAAGCTGAGAATCATCTTTTGGGTGTGTAACTGAGAAGGTCTACAGTGACTATCGGAGTAGTTCAGTGGCCAGTGGGGAGAAGCGTTGCAGTGGGTTGAAGTGTTCCTGGAGGGGGCAGTAGAAGCTCTATGTATGCATGGCTGTCAGTGAGGTTGCTGTAAAAAGAAAGAGCAAGAGATGGGGGGGGCCTGAAGGTCATGTTTAAGGAAGGAATTTTTTTTGTTAAAGTTACGGGTTTGAGCATATTTAAATGTTGATGAGGAACCAGTAGAGAGTAAGATTAGGTTAGATAGGGAAACAAAGGTTATAAATACAGTACAAAAAAGTGAATAGTTGTATTTTGGGGGGCATCAGGGACACTAAGGATTGAACCCAAGACCTTTCCATTGAGCTACATCTTCAGCCCTTTTATTTATAATTTTGAGATTGGGTCTTACTAAATTACACAAGCTGGGGTCTTAACTTGCAACCCTCCTCCTTCAGCCTCCTGGAAAACAGTTGTATCTTTTGGTTCCTGAGGGAAAACTCACCATCAGTTCTCGTGGACACCCTAAAGTAGGGTCCCCACAACTCTGGTCAGAGGGAAGTGTATGTTTCTCCTTTGGCCAAGCTGTGTTTCTCATGGGAGGTCAATGGTCTTCTGCCTAGAGGCACGTACTTCACCAGTGAATTAATGGGAGGAATGAAGGTACCCTCTGAGCCCTCTTGAGTCCTCAGACCATGAAGCTCAGGTGGTGAGAGTGGTGTGTGAGCCAAGACATTCATTCCTGTGACATCTGTCCCCTGGTACCCCATACAACACTTTCAGTCAGTAGGGCAGTTTCCCCAGTCTGTTGGGAAGTAGTGGAGGTATAAACTTTTCGGTCAGACTGAGAAATTTAGAATATATTGTATAGAAGCAGCAGGGTAGCATAAACTCCTGCCCTCTGGGAAACATTCCTTTTATTCCCAGCCCCCACCTGGCATTAGAGGAGCCCTCTGGGCCCTGATGGCCTCTCTGTGGGCTCTGTCCACAGAAGTCCATCCCATTCAGAATCTTTATTTCCTGATCTATTAGTCTGATGCTTTCTTTGGTTCAGTTTATAGCACACCCCCTCTCATATGTTACAAAGTCAGAAAGTCAATAAAAATCTCAGGTGGGACCCTCAATCCAAAGGCAGAATTTTGTTCCTGCATTCTAGAGCATGTGATTGAGCTCAGGTGTGGTTGGGGAAATATTTTAGTCCCAGAATATGTAAGGACTTTTACCAAGTAAGTTGCTTCCCTCTCCCTTTTGCCTTTAGGCTCGAAGAAATCGAGAAATAGCAATTTTGCATCGCAAGATTGATGAAGTACCCAGCCGAGCTGAGTTAATACAGTATCAGAAGAGATTCATTGAACTCTACCGCCAGAGTAGGTGTATCAGCCACACAAACTCAAGGCTGGGGAGAGATGGGAGGCCTGAGACTCTGTCTCACTTTAGCATGGTGAAGGACGCAGCAAAGTACAGATCACAAATGCCATTCTAGAAAAGGGTTTCTTTTATTGTCAGGCCACATTGGAATCCCAGAACACCACTGTGGTGCTCTCAGCCAGTGGAGCTCTGAGAGTCATGTGCTGAGCCAGTCCTCATTCTGGTCAGCCACAGGGCCTTCCCATGAGCTCCTACTCCACTTTCCTACTTCACATGGAGCATGGATTTTCACTGACCGGTCCTTGCTACCGACATTCTTGCTAATGTGGTCTTTGACCTTTAATGGCATCATATTCACCTAGTAATCCAGGACCAGTCTCCCCTCAGCCTGGATCAATGACATCTCATCAGGCTCAGAATTGCCCTCAGACTTACCATTGTTTCCTATTCCTCCGTGTCCTGCTATGTCTGTTCTTATTTGAATGATATCTCGGAAAAATGAGTACTAGCTGGCCTGTGGAACCTCAAGTCAACACTGACTCATCTAATGATGTCACTTCTCTGTTGAGAGATTTTTCAGTTCTGCTGGGCCTGTTGGATAATCTTCTGCCCTGGTATGGGTCCTCCACGTTCATTTCAAGTACCTGGAGGCCTGAGGCTCATTTCCTGATCCGAACCCTCATGGTGGCTTCACTGGTCTGCACACTGACTGTGTCCACACCAGAACTTTTACATGTTAGTCATGACTCCTCCTGTACCTGTGCCCAAATCCTTTTCTTCTGTCAGGCAAAAAATCCTTCAAAATTCAGACTCTGTAAGCCCATCCCAGACTCTGCACTCCAAGCAAGAACCAATCATCCCTCTTCTGTACTTCCCTCTTGCAAACTGCCATGATACCCAGAACTCAAAGAGCTAGAAGACTGAATTTAGCTTCCACTTTCCTTGAGCTGAGATGGATCCACTTAGTCCTCTCTGCCTCCTGCTGTTTGCCAGTTCTACTTCATAATATTCCAGTCCATTTCTTCCAGATTACAACTGTAGCCTCCTTTCATCTCTGCCCAAAGACTAATCCCCTAACTCTTGCCTAAGAGATCTTTCTTAAACATAAAGTTGATCATTTTATACCCTTGCTCTAAAAACATTTTAAATTTAATTGCTCCACATAAATTGGATAATCTTCAGTGTCTTCAGCACCCTGTACAAAATCCAACATGGTCTGGGTGCACCCTCCCATCCAGCTTCCCTCTGCAGTCACCCAGTGCCCCACCTGACTCATACATCTGCCTCTGGGTCTGTGAGCCAGTCCCCAAATTCTGAATATCGTTACCCTGCAGTTCTCCCTTGGCATTTCAGAACCCACCTCAGTTTGCCCTCCAGCCCTGGTTTCTCAAACGCCCTTCCTGGTTCAGGCTTGAGCACTCACCTTCCTTGAGTTCAGGTTATGCTTCCTTACATTTTGCTGCAGTGAGCAGCCCGAGCTTTCAGCCAGTCTTCAGATACAAGTCAGGTGGTTAGAGATAGGGTATCAGTGTTGACAGTTTTCAGCAGAAAATAGTTTTTTGCCTTAACCTAAATCTTGCCCATTAACTTTTCCTCTCCTACTTGAAAGTTTTAGTAGTAATACTTTGTTTGCATCAGTATATTTCATAGTGAATTCCACACATTAAAGACATTTGTTAAAGATATGTTTACACCAAAGCCATTTTCAAGCAAATATCAATTTTTATTACTATTGTGAAATATCCTCAACCGCAGCCCAGTTCTTGAACCAGATGGGGAAATGGTGACTGGTTCATTTATGGTAGTGATTTATGACTTTGGCTACACAATGCCATCACTTAGGTCCCACCTGCGTATAGTCCCTTTTCATTGGTCGCTAGCCTTTATAACTTCACAAGGTATTGCATTTGCACACTGTGGGGTTTCCCAGCCCAGACAGACCTGAATCCAGCATTGTGCCTCATTGGTAAAACTATTGAGGTCAATTTCTTAACCATTAGAACTCATGTGCTGATTTCTTTCCATTTACAGTTTCAGCTGTGCACAAAGAAACCAAGCAGTTCTTCACTTTATATAATACCTTGGATGACAAAAAGGTTTATTTGGAAAAAGAGGTAAGAACCTTTATAAAAAGAAAATAATTTGATGAGACAAGCAGTTGACTCCAGGAAGTTCAAATGGACTTATGCCTGGGATGGATACATTCGGAATAAGTAGATAAAGAATGCCTTCTGAATACCAAGGATTCATCACCAGAAAGTTCACATTCTTTGGGAGTCCATTGTCTGAGATGAAGTGAGGCTGGTGGATGGCTGTCCTGTAGTGCTGTCATGTCACTTGACATGATGTACATGAGAAGTGCCATCATGAAAAGAAGTACAGTGTGAGTTCTGGAGCTGAGAAATTAGAGTTTTAACAGGAACCTGCTAAATGTGGGGATAAGTGAGTGGTTTTGTAGATTATGTGGAGAAAATGGTTGTTTAATCATCAGTGGCAGGCAGAGACATGAAAAAGAACAAAAATTTAGAGCAGGGGCAAAGAGTTGACATGGGCACTGATACCTCCTCCATCTTACTCTGATGCTCCCACTCAGTTTAAAGCCATTCATGATTTTCAGGGCTCCCCTGCGCCAGACACAGATGGTCAAGGCAGGATATGCAGCTATGCTAATAAAAAAGAGAACCGTCTAGGTAGGCTTTACAATAGCACTGTGTGGTGAAGAGCACACAGCCTTTGGGGTTGTATTTGAACTTCAGCTTGGCCTCATTGTCCTTACCTCTAAAATGGGGATCACATTGTGCTCTAATGGTGATTATGATCAAGCCACAATGAGAAAATCTAAGATCCTTGCATGTGGTAGAGTCTCAATACTTATTAATTCCCACCCAGCCCACACCTTGAGGCTGATAGAGCTCTGCCTACACTAATGAAAGCACTTTTGTAAATACTTTATTATGCAAGAACAGTATTATAGATGTACCTGCTACCTGAACTCAAATCAGAGCGCCTGTAATTTTTGTCACCTATATTGCCTATTATAAATCAAATCAAACTCACTCCTTGAGGAGGGGTTAAGTTTTATATTTCTTTTCATCCAGGCCTTGAACAATAAGTACATAACAAGCATTTGATAAATGTTTGAATAAATGAGTGCATTTGATATAATTTGTGTCAGACCTCGGGGACAGCTCTGCCCCACACCCTGGCCTTGGGGACTTCCTACCCATGAGAGGAAGGCTTGCCAGCCCTAATTTAGGAATAGGCCAGTCCCTTCTTAGAAGCCTTAACCCCATGGGTCTTCCTTCACTAGCAGTGATTAGTTGTATTCTTTTAACAGTTGTAGTATTTGTTGGGAATGGGGGGAGTCTGAACTGAGTTTTAAATTCCAGGCCATATTAACACACTTAGAACTTGACATTTAAGTTATGTATTTTATTCTAGATGTGTTTATGCCTGTGATATTTTAGCTTTAAAACCACTTTTTGGAGTATTAAGGACAAGAATATTATTTCTGCATTGCAGACTGTGAACCTGAAATTCATGTATGGAATTGTTGAATAGATACACCGCCAGACAAGGACTCAGGTTTCTGGATTCAAGACTCAGAGCTCTTCCTGGGTTATATCTTTGAGGGTTCTACTATTGGGGCTAAGGAGGGTCCATGGAAATGGAGCCATAAAAAATGGATTCCTTCAGAGGCTCTCAGCTGACCAGTAGCTGAGCACATTGGGCAATTCTGAGGAAAGGAATAGGATAGGTACTATGTTCTTAGTCTCTAGTGCAACAAACTCCTTTTCTGCCAGTAGCTCTGAAAACAAAGTGTGGTGTTCGACAGTATAGAAACTGGCTATAGTAGCAGCTTTCCAAAGAGCCCTGGTATTAGCATCTGCTCAGATGGCATTTAGAGCCCTTCAAAGACCTGTCCTCCTACATCCTGTGGTAATGCATAATAGGAAAAGAAGTCTCCTGTGAGTAGATGGGTATTCCTTGAGGAAAACTGTATAACTAAGAACATGTTCTTATTTTTTCTTTCCTGTTACTTTAATCTGTATAAACATGCTGTATGCTCCTTTTGGAAATAGTATCTAGAGAGGAGGCAAGCTTTCTGTGACCAAGGTAGTGTGAGAATCTTTTAGCCTTTTACTTAGAGTTTTGTTTTTTATTTTCCCAGATTAGTCTACTCAATTCAATTCATGAGAACTTCTCACAGTAAGTACTATCCATCCTTATTCCTGTAAATACACTGATGACCCTGCGCTTTGTGTTCACCCACCTCACATTACCGTAGTGTGACAAAGAAAGGTAGGCTGAAGGTGTAATGCCAGGCATGTAATTCCGAGGATTCCAATTTCTGCTGAAGGCAGATGTACCTTGGCTTACATTCCTTGAGTTCCTGTAGAGATATAATGATTAGAGTACATTTTAAAAACACCAAGAAAAAACTCAGCGAAAAGGTTAACTTTGAAATAATTTGACTTTGCCTAACTACTATAATCTCTCTCTATCCATTTTGCTTTGGTAAGACATGATTAATACCCTTTGTTCGTGAGGTTTAAAATTTAGATGAAAAAAATTTAATGAAACCTATGTAATTTGTAAAAGATTTTTTAAGCCTTACAGTAGATTTTGTTCTTAAGTTAAAGTACATCTTCCAAAGTACTTTGTTCAGATATGAATTCTTTTCCTCCAAAAATTGGATGGAAGGCCCACCTGTACCCAGATCATGAGTCTTCAGGCATGTCCCTGATAGACTGTTCCAGCCACTATCCAGCAGCCCAGGGCTGGCTTCCTGGATAGCAGGTTTTATTCTGGCCCTTGGCAGGTGAGCAGGGACACATTGAGACTGAGACTAACATCTTTATGAATTATAAACTCTAGATTTTAAGCTTCTTTTCTAATTAAAACCAAAATCATAACCACCACAGGTCCCTGATAGGATTCATATTCAGTTAGCGCCTTCCAGTCTTGTGACATTTCTAAAACTGGTCCTTTATTTTCCTTTTCTGATAATTGAAAGACCCTGCAGTTTGAGGGTCTTTGTGATGAGTTCTGCTCTAGCTGCCAATACTTTGAATTCTCAGTTCCTGTGTGTACTTTATCCCCACTCTATAGAGCTGGAGGGGAGGAGGAAATGTGTTGACACATCGGATAATCTACTCTTTTAGCTGCTGCTTCTAGCAATAGGACCCACGTTGTCAAGCTCAGGTTTTAGGAACACTAAGAATATGTTTACAAATCCTTCCAGTCTCAGATTTTTAGAAATCAAATTGGTTTAAAAACCATTGATTTCATTTTTAAGTAGTAATTCCATAATTCAAGGTAGATAATATCTGTTATTTGTAGTCTCATTTTATTTTAAACTAAACACATATTGGTTAAGAAGTTTGTAGGAAATAAAAGATTAATAGACGAGGCTGATTTTCATGCCTCCTCAGAGGTTTACAATCCTTAACTCCCTGGGCTCCATGGGCCCTATGTGTCCATTGGGCTTTATAAAGGCCACTTACCTTAGGCCACAGTCTGCGTGTGAGCCTGCCTCCTTCATGTCTCCCCTTGCCCTGTATGCTAATCGCACCTCTGTTGATCTTTCAGAGCCATGGCTTCTTCTGCTGCCCGGGACCAGTTTTTACGTCAGATGGAACAGATCGTAGAAGGAATTAAACAAAGTAGGATGAAGGTCAGCTGACTTCTTTTCTATATTGCAGCAGTTCTGTAGGGGTCAGTGGGTGGAGTGGAGTGTGTACTCCATCCTGCCAACATTCCTTTGTCCCACCAGGCAGCTGACTTTGCAGGGATAAGACGTGCACTAGGCTACCTGCACTGTGAGGTCCAAAGGCTGCTGTTATCAGTAGCTCTCTCATATTGAACACCCACTGATCCTCCTGAGCCCCTTTAGTGAATATTGCTACCCTATGTTATAGATGCAGAGACTGTCTTTCCCTAGCAGGCTTCCTCTCTTGCCCAGTCACTTCTTCACCAGATCTCTGCTTCCTGACATTGTCACTAGTGCTTCATTACCTAGGAGTCTTGGGATCCTAAGAGCATTTTGTTTTGCAAGAGTGGTTCCCCCCTTAAAAAGGTAAATAATCATTAGACTGATTTGTGCTTGAGTGAGAGAAAATTGAACCTCAAAAGTCAGAATGGAGAGGAGCCTACAAGGGATATAGAAGCCCACAGAGCTTTGCAGAGACCCACTGAGTCTGGGGGCAGCATGGGGTGTCCCTGCCTGTGTAAAACCCAATGTGAGCCCACTTTATCAATAGGAAGGTGAACTTGCTGACAACTTAAACTGATGGCATACACGCAGCTGTAGTTTCCTACCATATTTCCAGATAAATCCTAATGAATACTTTCAAGTATTTCTTGCTTTCTGTCCTGTGTAAAAAAGGTAACAGGCTGCAGTGGTCTTCAGACTCCACAGTAAAATCTGTGAAGACTTAAAGGTGTCTCCTCTCAGGATCTTGAGGCAGAGTGCTTCAGTGACTTCAGTATATAAACACATGAAAGAAAGAATTACCTTAGGTCCTATCATCCTAAAACAATCTTTTACAAGACAAACAGCTTGCGTGTAATTTCATGTCATGAGGATGAGCTAAGGGTAAAAAGTGCTCTATATTCCTTAGTGTTTCCATTAATTATTTGAATGAAGTAATGTCAAAAGAGAAGAAAAGTATCACTAGTGAGAAACATGATTGCTACCACTATTCAGCCACAAAAATGACAGCACATGCCAGTTACATGTTAGGCAGGACAGAGTAAATGGAGTCCCTTCTTGATAATCTGGCGTATGAGGTAGATGGAACCTGACTGCCCAAAATCCAGTGACAACCCAGATCGGGGTGGTGGACAGTTTCTACCGTGCTACTGCTTCTCAGGGACCTGCCCTTAATCCCATGAAAGAACATTTACTGGGCTTTGTTCCTTTTGTTCCTCCTTCCTGTTGTTCTACATTGCTTGGGGGGAAAAATAGTCCTGACCCATGCATTCTTTCCACCTTCCCCCAGCCTCATGCTATTGACACCTCAGTGCTGGCCAGTGAAGGGAGCTGCCATGCAGTCTGTCTCCCCCATTATGGTGAGATCTGTGGATGAGGGAACGCCAGGCCAAGCAGGCTCTCCCAAGTTTTTGTCCTCTAGATGATGTAGTGCTTGACCTGTGGTGGGCACTCAGGAACTATTTGTCAAATGAGTGAATTCATTCAGTGAACTCTAAAGGCAGCACTAAATAAAATAAGGTTCCAGATAGGGTTTGAATATTGATTATCACGTGGAGTAGAATCAGCCAGTCTCCTTTGAGCAACAGCACTCATTTGAATGGATGGATGCTTGTTTAAAGAAAAATATAGCCTTCTTTATAATGGGGCCATGATGGGTTTTGCTCCTATGGATGTAGCATGTGAGTCTTTGTCTGCCCCAAAGACATCCTCCAGAATTGGTGGGTTTAGGCATCATAGGATGATAGACCACCATTGGGTAGAGGTGATAGAACAGGTGTGTATATTCCACCTTCTGAAGACTTCTGAGCAAAGAGAGAATCATATTAGTAGGTGTTTAGACCTTACCCAGAGGAGGTACAATCTCTGGATCTCAGGAATACAGTGAGCAGTGCTCAGCAAAAGCATCCTGGAGTTCCTGGCCTAGGTTGGAAGAGGTGATGAGTGAGGTGTAGGACTGGTATTAAGGAGAACTTGAAAATATTCAGAAACTCAGAATGAGAGTAAGCTCCTCATCTAAAAAAGGGATACTCTTCCTGCTTACTTCATGCTGTCTAGTACATTAAATGTTAAGAAAAGTTCCTTCGATTGAGTAGCTACTGAGAACCAAATCACATGTCATCCACTTAACATTTAATATCACATATTCCTCATAGCAAAACTGTGATCTAGGTGATAGAATGCTGATTTTTTAGCTAAGGAGGAGCTGTCATTCAGAAATTGAAATAGTCTATCCATGATCTACAGAATAGAAGAGCTAAGATTTGAACCCTAGCCTTTCTGGCCTCAAGCTCATACCCTTACTACATTGCCACACTATCTCCCATCGTGAGTCCTGGATAAATTCACAATTCAAATGCATTGTTTATGTTACTAGAACATAGTTGATCATGGACAGATTTTTGCTAAAGCACTGAGAAGAAAGGAGATACCTGGGCTAGAGCCACCTGTTGTGCTAAGAGGGAGGGGGACCTGGCTGTGAGGCCTTACCTAGGGCCTCAAGGAAATGGGGAACTGGGGTCCAAGGAGGAACAGCAGGGTGAGTTATGACTGACTGCCTAGTGCAAGTGATGCAGGGACAGCTTCTGGCCCTGAGTGCAGGACTGCCCACTGCGGGAAGTCCTGGGCAAAGGTGGATTACCGCACTGGAATCCTAGCATAGGGTACACCAGGGTCCTTGTGCTGTTTGGTGTCCACATGCAGACAGTGAAAAGAGAGCTGAGGGCTGGGGATTTAGCTCAGTGGTGCCGCCTCCTGCTTCACAAGCACAAGGACCTGAGTTCGATCCGCTGGTACCAAAAAAAAAGACAAAAAAAGAGGACAGCTGATACAGGGTCTGGATTGAACCGTAAGTGTCTTATGTGGGCTGGACTCCTTGAACAGTGTTGGGGTAGGTCTTAGGGATGCCAGGTTGCATTTCACCTTTGAGGTCGACAGAGGCCTTGGGTGTAAAGAGTGGAGAGAACTACTAAGGTGTAGCCAGTGTAACTTGTGCTTACTAACTATAAATCACTATCTGGCATGAGTGAAGCCAAGGCAAAGTGTCACTCATGATTCATTCAACAAGCACCAGGTCTGCACCATAACTTTCTCTGCCCTCTTCTTCTGGCTGGCTGATGTTCTGAGTTTATCTTCAGAAAATATAGCACATACCATTGCCACTACTGCTCCATTGCTGCACCTCAGAGAGCCCCCACTGCCCTGAATTCTGAAAAAGCCCTGTGCCCACTGCACCCTCCATCACCAACCTTGGTTTTTTTTTTTTTTCAGAGAACTGATAGTTGCTGGGAATTTAATATGTACCTTTTAGGTGCTGGTTTAATGTCAGTCTCTAAATGTACACTGTAAGAGCAGGACTTTGCCTTGTTCGCCACTACATTTAGATATTCTGTAGGGATTCAGTTGATGTTTATTGAGTGAATAAGCTTTGGAGTACCTTAGAAAAATCTCTTTAAATCAAAGTCTAGACTGTAATTATGAGGTCAGAACCCTGGAAAAACCTGTATTTTCTGTCAGTAGAAAGATAGGTAAGCAAGCGATGATTGGGAATATTGTACAGTTTTAAAATTATAATTATAAAAAATTTATAACGTGGAATTAGTCACAATAAGTGAAAAGATGATGTACAATTTTATTGTATAACATAGTTATTTAAATTCAGATTTCTCAACCTCAATGCAGATAATATTCTGGGCCAGAGAATTCTTTGCTGTGTTGTTATTCTCTGCATTTTAGCATGTTTAGCATCATCTTTGTCCCCATCCAGTGATACCAGTAGCACTTTCTCACTATCAGAACAATCAAAACTTCCTAGAAGTTGCCAGATGCCTTCTGGGTGCAAAAAGCCCCCAGTTGAGAATCACCAATCTGTTCTGTTGTTTGTAGTGACAGAAACCAGTTGTCATGGATTAATGTTCAGTTAATAAAATTGCTGAATAAATTATAGGACCTCTGTGTAATATACAAGTAAGCTAACCATCAAAATTTATAAATAAGTACTGGAAAGGAATCCATGAAAATGTTAACGGTTGCCTTTTGTATGCTGCCAGCAGCTTTTGTCAGAATGCCTTTTTATCACCCACCATTTCCCAAAACGTTTTTAACAGATGGAGAAGAAGAAGCAAGAGAACAAAATGAGAAGAGACCAATTGAACGACGAGTACTTGGAACTGCTAGAGAAGCAGAGACTATACTTTAAGACTGTGAAAGAGTTCAAAGAGGTAAGAGTAAGGTTGGCCAGGGCATGTTAAGGTGAAAATGAGATTTATGTTCTCCTCAAGATGAGCCTTTCAAAGCCAAGAGCAGGTTGTTTTTGTTTGTTTTTATTTTTATTTTCATCTTCTTCTTGTTTTTGTGTCTGTGATGAGAAGTAGCAAGTTGGTATGATCTGCCAGTACATTGTGGCATCAAGGTAGTTGAAGATTGCATTGTTCTCTGGCCCATCTTTAAAATGTACAGTAATACCTCAGTTCATGAATCCTTCTGTGTGCAAACAATTCATTTTGGAAATAAAAGCATTAGGCAAAATTTTGCTTCCATTCACAAACTCCACATCAAGTGATAAACGCAACCACAGCCATCTTCCTCATAATCGTAAACCAAGGTACCACTGTATGTAGTTAAATGTTCTAAGACATCTTTATTTTCATTTTCCTAACATTTAGAAAGCCTGTTAAACTCACAAGCAAAATGGCTCCATTAACCCACATCAAGGTCCCCTTAGAAAATGTTTCCTGTGGATTTACATAGAGAATGAATCTTCACTCCTGCCAGTCTCAGGCTGGGGATGGACCTGGAGAATCTGAGTAGGAAGAGAGAGAACTTTGAAATGTGGCAGGCTTGGGTATGAGTCCTGCCTTTCCCACTTAGCAGCTGTGCACTTTGGCAGTGACCCAGTCCTTGCAAGCCCCAGCTGCCTTCCTGGTGGGTTCTGTGGGTCATATGGGAGAGAGCAAACATCTAGCACTGTGACTGACACCTACTAACACCCAGCATCCAACTGAATTTTGTTGTTCTGTTTTTTTTGCTCTCTGCACTTTGGTGATGGTGGTGGTGGTGGGTCTTCATTTTTCCAGAAAGAAAAGTGGCTGCCTTTTTATTAAGAGATTTTCCACAAAAAGAGAGAGGCACAGACAGATTAACATTTTGTTACATGCCAGGGTCTCAGTAGCTTTATTTCCAGGAATTCCTTCTACCTTGACCTAAATCCACGACGTTCTGGTGAGTTCAGAGGCTGCTGAAAATACAGAGGAGTTAGAGATAGGTTACATCCTGGTGCTTGATCTTAGGAATAAGAAATGTAATCTTCCTGGCAATAATTTTGTTACTATTTATTTTTTAAGACTTTCTGTCTTCCCTCCCTCCCCATCTTTCCCTTTTCTACTTGTCTGTTCCTCTTTTTTGTGATTTTTTCTATTTGGGAATCACAACCCCAGACATTTCAAAGTCACACATCCTTTTAAATGTTCTCACCTCAGAGACCAATTCCCCAAAACCAGATGTTTGTCCATGCCTAAGTTCTCTTCAGTCCAAAGCAGGGAGTGGGTTATATAATACGTTCTTACATATTTTATTAAATATATTCTACTCTAAAAAAATAACTTTCTTGTTCTCTTGTTTTTTAAAATTTGCCCATCTCTTAAAATATAATAGTGATAATAGTGATGGTAGTCTTTTTTTTTTTTTAACTTGGCAAAAATTTTAAAGTAGCAACCACTTGTCAGCATTCCAAATTCTTAAATTTTCTCCCACCAGCTCTACTAAAATAATTTGGGGCCACTAAGGGTGATGAGTTGGCTGTGGGGCTTTGTGGCTATTCCCAGTCTCTACTCATACTTTCAGCCAGAGCAATTCTCCTGTTCTGTTTCATACATTGAATTCCAGATTAAGATCTTCTTTGCAGTAGAAAGAGTTGAAAAGTCTGACTCTCATCCCAGGTGGTACCTTCTCTCCAAATCCTCTGCTCTGCCCTCTTTACCTACCTCTCCCCCTTTTGGCCTTTTACTTCTGTGTTCTGAATTCTCACTTAATCTCGGCCCACTGGCGCTTGTAAAGGGCAATAATTATTCTTCATGCACAGTGCTGTCATCCAGTAGTGGCCTTTTGCCATTTTCACAGTTGTGTTTACTGGGTTTGGTTTAATCCATATTAAGTGAGTACCACTGATGCCCCATGAACATTGTTTAGACACCATGTCATGCCCTCATTCTGATTCCTTTGCCACCTCTGGTATCAACAGCTTTTTGATTAGAGATATTGGATTTTCTCTGAAAATCACATTGACTTGCTCATTCTCAGAGTTTGTTAATTACAGATCTTCCAGGGAACAACACACACTGTACCCTGAAATTACCTAAATCACTGTACTGTATTATATAAATTGATTATGTCACTAAACCAGTTTCCCCAAAGATCATAAAACTGAGATTTAAATTCTAGAATGGCACTGGTGAGTGCAGATTCTGTGTTTTTTATGATGCTACCTTTGGAGATATAATCTTGAGAGAGAGCTGAGCTCACTGCTAAGTACTGTATCTGGTAGATGGTGGGCTGGTGGATTTTAACAGGAAAGAACATGGGCATAGTGATCTTCAGCAGGAAAGAGACAGAGGTGATGAGTCATTTTCCCTCTTCTGGAAAGAAATACCTAAAGGGCTCTTTTTGTATTTGTTTTGAAGAAACAGACTGTATCATTCTGTAGTCTGGCAGAAGGTTTCAGGGAGATTTGATCCTGAAATTTAATCAGTGCTCACACATATCAGGTGACAGCATAGGATATTTTTGCTGAAAAAACTCAAACACAAACTCAGTGTGATACAGTACAAATTACCCATGGTGGAGGACTTTTATGGCGGAAGTGTTTTAATTCTGAGTTGTTTTTGCCTCATTTAAAACGTGAGGTGGAATGACAATTGAAATTTAGTGTTCTATATTTTTATTATGAAAATCTCCAAAAATACACAAGTAGAAACAAATAACAGTATAATGGCATAACTGCCTATTTCTATTCCATCTCTTCCTCTTTTCGCTCATTTTTTAAAAACTGGATATTCCCCTTCTCAAGCAAATCTCAAAAATTCATCTTAAAACTTTTAAATTTTGTAATACAACAAATAGATCCCAACATCACTTTCTTTTCCTAATACCATAAAACATTAATCACTCCCCCTTTTTAAAAAATGCTTGAAAGGTGTCAGTACCTTGGCTTCTTATAGTCTGACAGAAGAATCCATGCCTGCCCTCAGCCTAGGAACCCAGCTATTCCCACATTTCCTGTGGAAAGATAAATCTTTCTGTGGAAGATAAATTTAAATCCTGTGGATGAACCAGCATTTATCTTAGGGAAGCCAGGGTCACTACCACAGTGCCACTTCAGCAGTGGCCAAAAGAGCAGAGAGCACCGGGTGTGGTGGCACATGCCTGTAATCCCAGCACCCTGGAGGTTGAGGCAGAAGTATTACCTGAGTTCAAGGCCAGCCTGGGCTACATAGTGAGTTCAGAGCCGCCTGAACTACAAAGGGAGACCCTGCCTCAAAACAAAACAAAAGAGCACAGAGCTTCCAGAGAACTGGGAACTTAGCCCAGGGAGATGGGAAACTGACTTTGGTGGTCTTGGTTGCAGAAGGTTCAGGAGTGAAAGAAAATTTTTCTCCCATTGGAACTGGGTCTCCAGGAAAGTGTGGCCCCTAGAGGCCTGATTACTGCCACACCTGGGCCCTATGTGTTGGATTGGGATTGTTGGAGATTTGCTAGCAAATGGAAGTATTGGGTTAAAAAGGCAGTAGAAAGGGTGTTGGAAAGCACATAATGAGATTTCCAAAAAAGGAAAGACACAGAGGTGGTGTTACAGCTTGTATTTAAATCTCCCCCAAAGCCTTTTGCTATCATAGGTGGGACTTTTTCAGAGGTGGCTGTATCTAGAATATGTGATGCTGGGATTAAGGGTGTGGGGTTACTAAACCACTGATTGGTTTGGCACTGCCCTAATTCTAGTAGCTAGGATAGAATATAAAATGGACAGAAAGAAACTGCTAAGGTCACTTGGACTTCCTTCTTCACTACTTTGTTGGTTTTGCTACCTTCTGCCCGCCATGAACCGTTTCTCCTTTGCAATGCTTGTCTGCCATTTCACCCTGCCTTGGAGCCAGCCAACTATGGACTGAAACCTCTACAAACTGGGAGACAAAATAAACCTTTCCTCCATTAACTTTGGGTGTTGGGTATTTTGTCTCAGAAATGAGAAAAGTGAGACAGGTGCCTTGTTCTAGAGGACACTGAATTTCACAGGAGGGGATGAGGACAGTGTCTTTCCTCAGTGATATCCCTCAGCATATGCAGTCACAGATTTCATACAGCTCATGGGGTGTGGGTTGTCCCTGAGAAATACCTCTCATCCTGTTTCCTGTGAAATTCTTCCTTAAAGCTGAAGATAGTCCTAGATTTCACTGTTGTTAGATGTGTGTATTTTTTTTTTCCTCTATACACTACAGCTCCCTGTCTTACTCCTTAGGGTCATGTCTCCAAGGCCCCATCTAATTTCTCACGCAGATTGGCAAATAGGTGTCTGATTTTCTGCTTCTGACCCATGAATATTTTAGAAACTTCAAAGTCTTTTGGAGTGACAGTGCCTAATCTTCTCGTCCTATCTTTTGTCTGACAGCCTAGAAACTGCTGAGCGTCATTATTCTTGCTTTGGCTTTGTATATAGATCAGCAGGTCATTGGGAAGTTTCACCATGCTGGTGTATGGTTTAGTTGGTTTCACCATGCTGGGAGTATGGTTTAGTTGGTTAGAAGGTGTCTTTTACAAAACTAGGGGGAAAATGAGACCATCTGGGCCCTACCTCTCTTTAATGCCCTCTCTGTTTCTCCTGTAGGAGGGCCGAAAGAATGAGGTGCTGCTGTCCAAGGTAAAAGCAAAGGCCTCCTGATCATTCCCAATTTTCGTATGTCTCTTGATTTTTTTTAAATGCCATGTATTAACTACAAGACATGAAATGGTTCTGAATGCAACAGTAGAGAGCTACAGGTGTATTAATTTCAACTCCCTGGATATTTTCTGTCCTATTTGCTACCACATCATCTCTATTAGCTGTTGATGGAATCAGAAAATGTAAACACTGGCTTGGATAACACCCACTGTCCTGTGAGGAAACATGGACAGTACTTACTCTCTATGTCCACTCAACTTTTATCTCTCCAGTAACGTTACACTTACAAAGGTACCTGTATTTGTATAGACTCTTAATAAAGAATTCTTTTGTTCAGCAAATATTAATTGAGCAACCACTGAGAAATAAGCATGGAGGGGGATTTTATCAGTATAAACCACACTCCCTATACCTCCCCACTTCCAAACATTCAGCAAGTGGCCCAGGAAGCAGATACCCACTGGACACCAGAGCTTGACCATCTTGAAGTTTATTTTATTTTGTTTCAGTAAACTGTTGGGTGAATGATCTGCCAGTGTGAGTGACAGTCACTTGGGCCCTTCACTTGTGGTGCTTTTTGTTCCTGGCTTCTCAAGGTACCAGCTAGCAGGCTTGAATGGTATACATAGTAACTTGAGTGAAAGCTGTTTCATTGATTTAATCCTTATATACCCTTTAGGTTTATTTCACCAAAAAAAGTTGAAGGTGGGGCTCATACTGAGCATGTTTCAAAAACAGTTACACCTGTGTCCTAGTTGTCATTTGAGTCATAGGCTACATGTGGATGGGCTTTCGGATCCCTTTATTGAAAGCATATTTCATATTCCTATACTGTAGAGAAGGTCATGGTCTGATCAAAGAAAGAGACATGCACCATACTGACTGCTGACAGGGCAGGCACACTGAAAGACAGTAACAGGTACTGTGGGGCAGAGGAAGAAGCAATGGGTTGTGCGGAAGTATGGAAGTCTTCATAGAAGGGCAGCTAATATTTGGGCTAGATCTGAAGGGAGAATAGCATGTTCCACAGAGATAGGAAATAATTTTTGATCAAGCTACACTGATTGAAACTCAAGAGGGTGTAAATGGGCACAGAGCATTCATACTGGGAGCGGAGGGGATGTTCTGAAATCTGCAGGAGGCTTCAGAGACCTGGCTCAATAGCTAATGAATTTTATTCTCTGTAAATGAGCAGTCCAAAGAAAATACAGAGCTTCTGTGCTGGCTCTTGGGAATCTGGCAATTTAGTCTTGGTCAGTGTACCCCAGTGTGAGGTTTGTACTCCATTTTTCATAAACCAGGCACATATATACTGTTCAATAGCAGATTTGGACTGTAAAATGCAGACACCTGAACATGTCAGGCAAGTGGGACATTCGGCACAGGCACAGAAACACTGTTCATCTTTAGCTCCCTAATGTATATGATGAAAGGCTGGGATGAACAGACTTTAAAACATCCCACTCTGGCTAACAGCTAACACCACCATTGCTTTGTGCCAAGGCCAGTGAGGTGCTGTGAGAGCAGCAGCATCTGAAATGGTACCTCCCTGTGCCAGTGCACTTCCTGGCCTTGTGTATCTTCACTTCCACTCATTCCTGAGTCATGGTCATGTGGAAATTTTGAAGGGGCTCAATAAAGGTGAAATAGGTATTATTTAAGAAGTGTCATTTTGAAGGTAGGAGACAGCAGAAGTTTGTCTATTTAAAATTATTTCAGTTTCAGAGAAGCATCTGTATTAACCATGTAAAGAAACTTAAAGACTCACCCTGGCTAACTGGACTTTGTGAACAATTGGGAGATCGTTAGAGTATTTGTGCACAGGTGTTAGGGAACTGGGAATAGTTGATATTCTGGAGTTACCCTAGTCCACCTGTCTTTGTTGGAGGAAAGTATGGCATAACTGATCCAAAGCAACTAATAATGCTTTTTAAAAGTGGAGCCCTTTATTTTGGGCTGTGTTTCTAGAGTTCCGTTTGTTTTGGTTTTGTTGTGGAGAAGTACTGATAGATGTCTTTACCCTTTCTTTAGTTTACAAGGCCTAATATAGATGATAAATTAGTCTTCGTTGCTTGAACATACTTCAAATTAGACTGCAATAGCTATTCTTGAGAATTCCACGGTTGCTGCAGATAGCCTTCAGTGTGGATACTGTTGTGAGTAATTAGGACATTGGGCAGGTAGAACAGTCAGGCCTTATAGGTTAAAACAGTGCACTGAGGTCTGTGATCATTTCAAGAGGCACTCGTGATAGTAGGGGCAGGGGTCTTCCTGAGGCCATATCTTTCTTAGCCCAGAGCCACAGTGTTGTATTTTGCTGAACCCACAGGCTTTTTCAGAAGTACAAGGAAGAGAGAAAACATCCTTTAGTTACTGTTTATGAATGTTTGCTTCAGGAGAAAGCAGACAGTTCTCAGAACACTGAGCCCCCTAATGGGACTGGGTGCCTGTTACCCTGGATATCTTCGTGCTCATGTGCATCTCATAGAGTATGCAAGGCTGCTCTGATATGAACCAAAAGGCTTCTGAGAACAGGACCAGATTTTCTGCTTATGACACGTCTGTGGAGATACTTGGACATTTGGTAGCTGTCCTTGGCTTGTGTCCAGTCCCTATAGATGACAGGACAGCTAGCAGCACTAGAGGGAGATACATTGTATTAGAAAATTGTCACAAAGTCACACAGGAGTGTGCTTCCTTATAATAGAGAGTAAGTTCCAGGTTTGTCAGGCATAAGCTTTTGCTAGAATCTGACATTCATGGTTTTAACTGGGTCTGGTTTGATAGCCCATATTTTGAGGACAGCCAAGCCTTTCAGCCATGTCCACTGAGTCTGGCAGTAGAATTGGGAGACAGGAGAACCAGTACAGGTTGGAGGTCTTTCCAAGCCTAGGCTGAGGAAATAGTCTCCAACACCACCACAGCCCCTGCGACTCCCTGAAACCCTGAGTAGAGGATAGGGAATGCCATCAGACAGCACTCTTATCTCACAAGGTGCCACTCCTGTGACTTTGGTATTGTTACATATGGCGGGTCCTGAACACATCTGTATTAACTAAAGCCAGCCTGCTTGAAAGAGCACTTGTAACAGCTGTGGCCTGCAGCCTGTGCTACCTGGATTTCTGCTGCTCAGCATGGTCTTGTTTTGCTTACTTTTTGGGTGACTATTGATCAGTTTAAGAGGGAACTAGGCATTCTAGCAATAATTTTATTGGTTACTATAGCTGAGCCCAAGTCTCTTATGAAATGCGTATAATTGGATTGAAACATGCTTTGAGTCAGAACACTTTAAGGAAGTCCTTTATTACTAACTCATGGCCAGTGTTGACCACAAGGTAAAAGAACATAGTACAGATGAACAGCCCAGTAGGGTGTGTGCCATTGTCTATCCCTGTTGTGGGGCATTCCCAGGGAAAATGCCTTCTTTTATCCACCTTCAGAGTCCCCCATGCCCTTTCTTAGTATTCTATGCTCAGTTTAGTGTAGGCCTTTTTATAGCACATGGCAATAAGGTGAAATACTACATAAAAATATATAATATCCATAGGGAATGGGGAAGGGGACATAACCAGGACCTCTGCCATGGGTCCTGGCCTCTCAGCCACCACAGCACGAGGGGAATTAAAGAAGAGACAGGAAATGAGACTTACAGTGGAGAAGCTGAGTTTCGGGTCCTGATCAGTGCTCCTGATGGCATCAAAGACAAAGGCCCCCAAGCGCGTCCAGTATTTATTGAATACAATCGTAGGAAGGAATAGGGAGCAGGGTATGCTTTGAAGGCATCTAGTGAAATACTGCCGAACACCTGGCATGGTGGTACCAGGCAGGGCTGTTAGGGAGTAAGCACTGTTTATCTTGCTTGGATAGAACAAACCAGTACTGGGTGCAATTAGCAGGCAACCATCGGGTCAGTGAGGAGCCATAATTCAGGGAAAAGGATTTTAATTGGGGTCATGCTGACCTCAGCTGCATGAAACTCAGAGCCCTGCCACTTCATGGACCAGGGCCTAGGTTTCCATGGCAGCCATTGCGGGAGGGACTATACTCTCCTAGTCTGCCGTCTGACAAGCCCATTTGAGTTGAAGAGAGCTTCAGTCTGACTCTTGATATAAAACAATATAGCCAAATTATGGAAAGCAAGAAGCAGTTGCCACTAGGTGCTAGTACTCAGCAGGGATGTCTGCTACAAATATCTCCCCTCTCCTCAAAATAAATATGTAAGACTATTAATAAAGATTTAATAGCAGATCTGAAGTATATTTGAAAACATGGGGAACTCTGACTTCCCATCAGCCTTATGTCAGTACCCCAGATGGGCTAAGCTCATACCCTTCGTGGCTGTTGGCCTGCTGTTCCTTCTGCCTAGAGCTCTTTCTCCTCCAAGATCTTGGGCAGTGGCATTCCCTAGCTTCCACCCTGATCTTACTCTGCTCATCCCCTGCTCTGTCTTTATAGCACATGCCACTGTTTAAATGCCTGTTTGTCCTTTGCCAGGTCTGTTTCCTGCCTTCTCATCTGGAATATAAAGGCAAAAACAAAATACAAGGACCTTGCCTCTTTTGCCATAGTCTGCCCAGTGTCTGGCTCAGGCAGATGATCAGGAAATGCTGCTTGCATAAATTTGCTTCTACAAATTGCAGCTTTGCATCCCTGTATTAGCAAAATTTAGATTTAACCTTTCCTGTAATTTATGCTTAGTTTGAAACAGGTTGACAGTTCTGTTCAGCAGCCTAGGAGGAACTCTCAGAGTATGTTCGTTATTCTTTAACCTTGAGGGTTAGGATGAAAAAAGGTGTCAGAGTTTTCAAACCTTTCAAAGGAATTACCTTTTTAAAGGAAGAGGAAGGTGCACACTAATGTCAGATAAGATTATGTTTTGGTTCCAAATGTTTCATGAATCTGAAGGTAACTTGCCTGGTAGAATGTCTCAGCCTCCTGAAACTAAGAAGTAAAATGCTATTACAAGGCTGTGGGAAGCAGCACTTGGACATGGGCTTAACAGAAGTATGGATTATACAACTTCTTGGAGGACACTTGGACAATATGTTTCACAAGTGCACACGCACAATCTTTTGAACCAGCAAGGCTATATCTGAGAATTTTTCCTATATACAAGGATTTTTATTAAAGCATTGTTTTTAATAGCAAAAAGTTGGAAACTGCCACCAATATAGGACAATTGTGGACAGTTCCCCTGATGGGAGTATTTTGTTTAATAAAAGAACAGAGCTAATCTGTGTGTTCTATGATGCATGATTGGGGAGGGCAAGGCACATGTTGTACTAGTGTTTGGAATGGAGGAAGGTTTCTGTGTTTATATATGTATGTATATGTACATATACACACACATGTCTATGACAGATGTCTGCTTGCATATGCTTAGACTCTCTGGGAGGTTACACACCAACCTGGCAGCTTTGGTTGCCTCTGCAAAGAAGAGTAGAAGTAACTTTTCATTTTATACCTTTTGTACCTTTTGAATTTTGTACCATGTACATATATTATCTATTAAAAAACAAATGGTTTTTAAATTTTGATGTAGTTTTTTTTAAAAAATGGAAGATGATTCTGGCTCCGTATATGTGCTTTGTTAAGGAAGATAAAACCCTTGAGTTAAAGCAGTAAAACTCATTTGCTCTGGTCTTAGGGGCAGTGGGCCAGTGCAAAAGTGGCCGTCTTTTTGTGGTAGAACATGTCTGAGCAGATGAAACACCAAGTAGCTGGCTCTGTGTCCACTGTGTGTGTTTGGCTAGCAGGGAAAGAAATGGGCCCATGAATGGACTGTGAAGTGACTGAGTCCTGGCAATAGACTAAAGCTGCTGCTATGAGGGTTGCCTGCATCTCGTGAAAAAAAATCACAGTGTAACCATTGTTCCTTATTCTTGGGGTACAAAAGCTGGGGATGGTACCTGTGAGTCCAAGGTTAGCTGTTAACATCCTCCAGAAGCCAATCCCGTCTTCTGTAGAAATTGGCTGCCAGTAATCCTTCCTGCTCCTTTCCTCACCAGCAGAACTCCAGTTTTGTTCAGCCCTGGGAGAGGAATCATAACAGCTGTTCTAAAACAGTGATGGGAATCCCATTTCTTCTTGCCATGAATTGGTTTACAGATGGGTGTCTAACCCATTAGGGTTAATGCCCAATTGGGGGAAAACTGCTAAGCTTTCCAGGAAAGACTCTTCTTGGATCAGCACATTGTACATCAGGAGAACTTATGCCTGCCCTTCCTGTTTGTGCAAGTTGTTGAGAAAAAGACAAAATATGAGCAACTTCATCCCGAGTCCATGAAAAGAGGTTCTAACAACACATCTTGGAAGAGCAAAAAGATGGAAAGAACCTGTTTCTGTGAATTCATGATGAGCTTCTGAACCAACCAGGGCTCTACTTGCCTCGTGTTCTTATTTGTGAGAATATTCTGTTAACTGGCACATTTAGCCGAGAAATATTTGAATTTCTGCTTTGTATCAACCAAATCGAATTTTCCCATAAAGTCAACATTGAACCTAACCATTTGATTCAGTTCTTATCCAATTTCATTTGCTACCAGAATCGTAGAATTAAGTTTGTGAACTGAGGTAGCACCATAGTTACAATTTTATATTGAGAAGCTAGAGAAGGGCTCAGTCAACTGACTAGTTGAGAGAGTATATCACATAGAAACCTAGTAAAGAAAATACCAGGCAGAGCAAATACCAAATTTAAAGGTCCTGAGTTATACCCAGGTAAATTTGGGGAATAATAAGCAGACCTGCACGGGAAGACTATAGAAGGATTTGAAAAGAAAAGCAATGTGATTTGGCTTCAATTTTAATAGAGGTTCCTCTGGAGGCTGTGTTGCCTGTGGACTACAGGGAGCCCATTTAAGAGAACACTAATAAGACGAAAATATTAAGACAAGACTTAACCCTTTCTGTATTGCACTTTTTTTTCTGGTTCTGTTTTAAAATGTTGAACATTATTGTTTGCTTATTCCCATCATACCAAATACCTTTGTCATGGCAGTAGACTGTTTTTCTCCAACCCTTCACTTTGGGGTTTTCCTTGGCTTATGAGATAGCAGACTTTTGCCCCATGACAAAAATGCCCTTTTTTCCCTAAGGATCATTACAGTCCTATGTTTCCCAGGCTGGCCTTGAACTTGTAATCTTCTGCTCAGCTTCCCAAGTAGCTAGGATCATAGACATGTTCCACCATATCCAGCTTTGACATGAGTTTTGAAACTGTGTGCCGCACTCTTGCCCTTCTCTTAAGTAAAATATTCTGTCAGCCCAGGGAGTATAAAGGACACATGAAGCATACCTTGACCTAACCTGCAGCTTGAAACCAAGCCCAGAAGAGTCCAGCTAAGATCAGTGAAACCTCAAACAAGCTATAGGCATATCAGCAAGAAATAAAGGCTCGTTGCTATATGCCACTGAGATTTTGTTGTTGGATACAATTGAGAACAAAGCTGAAGATTACACCCAGTGTCTTTCAGCCAAGATTATTAATACAGCCTACAGGTTTTGTTGGTAGTGGTTTTGAGTTCTACAACAGGCATTGTTTTCCCCAACTTAGTGTTTACACCATAAATAAAAATGATTCAGAGCTTTCACAAGGATGCCTCAAAAGCATTTTTATTACACATACAAGTCATTATGGTGAAGTAATGGGAAAAATTCGTATGTCTCATCTCCCATGTGGTGAAGAAACAGCAAAGACCAAACTAGCGGTTCACAACTCTGCCTATACATTGGAATCATTGGTAAGATTTTAATGGTGCTGTTGCCAGGTCATCCACCGGGAATGCTAGCTTACCCTGTTTAAAGAGTATTAAGTATTCAGCATCATCTCACTGATTAAAAAAAAAAATCATAGAATGTAATATATAGATCAACAGACCACTTCTTTGAGAGTCTGATTTGGTAGGTGTGAGGAAGACTGAGGTTTGTTTGTTAACTAAGCATGATCCTTATCTTCCTGCAAATTGGAATATACAGTGGTGCCTTGGATTGTTTTTTGATGTGGGGAAGAGGGCTGTGTTTGTGTTTTTGTGAGGAAGATGGCCAGGATCATGATTGTGACCTGGTGCGGAGTTTACAAATGAAAACAAGATTTTGCTGAATACTTTTGTTTGCGAACCAAATTGTTCTGCAAACAGAAGTATTCATGAAGAGAGGTATTGCTTTATTGCTTTGGGGGGAGTGTAAGTGGCTGAGGAAAGTAAGTTGAGACCAGCGAATAGGAGGTCTTTCACAAAGGAGAGGGTCTTTTGAGCAGGCTGAGAGACCTTCACAGAGGGAACAGCACATTAGACAAAGGAAAGGAAGTCAGCTTTGACCCTTGTGTCAATGCTAAATGTAGCAGTAACAACCTCAAGTGTTGTGCTGAAAGGATTCTATGGGGGAGTTTCTTCTTACAGGGAAATATACGATGATCCATTGGCAATCCCTTCTCTCTATATAGGAAGAAGGCATAGTTACATGTTTCTCATACTTTTGCTATCCTTCATGGGACAGCAAGTGTATGGCACAGCTTCCATATTCCAGGCTTAACAGCATGACTTTGAAAACATCATTAGTACTTAAATATGGAAGGAAGGCTCCTATATCACTGAAGGTGATAGATACAAGTTCATTTCCTCCTCACAACTCTGCCTATATGTGTCTTCAGCCCCTTTCATCTCTGCCTGGTAAAGAGGCTTTTGAAGGCATCATTGTAGTTCTTATTAAAAGCTGTGTAAATCAGAGGGTTAAAGAAAGAATTGGAGTAGCCAAGCCACAGAAATACACTTTTCCAGATGGGGGGTAGGCTGCAAGCGCAGAGGGGACTAATGAGCTCAGTCACAAAGAAGGGGATCCAGCATAGCACAAACACTCCAATCAGAATCCCCACCATCATGGCTGCTCGCTTCTCCTTCTGTTCCCGCCAGAAGTCTCCATTTGCCTGGAAAGTCACAGCTGGTTGGCAACGTGCTGTGAACAACATCTCAGCCTCATGAGGTGTCTCCTTCACCTTGGAATAAAGAAAATATGGCATTAAAAAATCTGAAGAAACAAAGTAATGTAGGCTGTCTCAAAAAGTGGTATCACAGGGCTAAATGCTGCTTCAAAAATAGGAAGACAGGTGAATGTCAAAAATCGCAGCTTACCAGAAAAATAAGCAGAAACCTCTCCAGGAACCAGTGCTGGGCTAAGAAAATTAAGCTGTAATGGAGGCTTAGTGTGGACAGATTTGAGAGTCTAAAACTCCAGGAGGACCTAGTCATCAGTCAGAGTGCATATTTTTGTAAATTTCTTACAAAATAATTTTTGTAATCGGATTGCTTCAAGGAATTATACCAGGTCCTCACAGTAAATATTGGAGAAAAAAATGACCTTACATGCTTCCTCTAAGTGGAAAGGGAAGAAGATCCACGTTTAAACGTATCAGGACCTTCTGTCCTTAAGGGATATCCTCTTAAGAAGTATAATTACAAAAACCTAATGTTTTTTGAAAAGGGAAATACAGAACACACTAATCTTTTGCCCACCTGACAGGAAGGTACAACTAAAAGTACTACAGTTTACAGTTTAACAGCACAGACTTCAGAAAGACTTGAGAACTAATCATAGGTCTATATAATGCTTTCTGTTCCCCTACTTATTACAGTTCCTTTTATTCAATACATTATACATACATTGCTCCCCTCCCCCCAAAATTATAAGGTGTACTTTAAGTCCTTAAAAAGCAGTATGAAAAGATCTAACAGAATCAGTCATGTGGCCATGATGTTGGAATCATCAGACCAGGAATTTCTAAAAATTGTAATATGCTAAGGAGTTTGACAAGAAGTAGAAAACCTTGCAAGAACTTTGGATAATTAAGGCAGAGAAGATTTCTGAAAATAAGTATTAGTGTTCAAAAACATTGTAATGGAAAAAGAATGCCTTTGATAGACTCATTAGACTGGACATAGTTAAGGAAACAATCTCTGACCTTGAGGGTATGATAGTAGTGTTTTGTTTTGTTTTATTTTGTTTTTTGGAGACAGGATCTCACTGTGTAGCCCAGGCTAGCCTCATACTGGTAGCAATCCTTGTGCCTCAGCCTCCAGAGTGCTAGGATTAAAGGCATGCACCACTGCACCCCACTATACAATAGTGAGTTCTGAAACTGCGAAACAAAGGGGAAAAAAAAAACAAAACAAAATTCAGAATGTTTAATAAGATATCAGGAACAAGAATTAGGAACAGAAGCAATATTTCAAGTTAAAAATTTCCCCTAATTAATGTTAAATATCAAACCACAGTTCCAGGCAAGTCAAAGAACACTCAAGATAAATGCCAAACTAAGCATCAAAAACAACTAGACCTATTTAAATTGCAGAAAAACAGTGATCAAGAAAACAATCTTTAAAGAATCCTAAAGAAACAAAACACCTTACCTGTAGAGGAGCAAAGATAAAAAATACACCTGTCTTCTCAGTAACCTTACAAGCGTGAAGAATGTCAAGTGAAATATTTAACTCATTTATGCCAAATATTGCAGTTTTTAAAATTTTTGCATGAAATTCATATATGTTACCTAACAAAATTTAAGAAACAAGAATTTGAAGAAAAAAAAACTTACTATGTCCCGTTGTTAAAGGTGATCCAAAAAAGGAATGGTAGGCTTTAATTTGTTAAAGTGTTGAGGGTCTGGGCATCTTCTCCAACCTAGAATTCTATATCTTGCAATATTACCATTTAAAAATGGAAGAAATACTTTCTCAGACAAAATTTAAGAAATTTTTTTGCCAGTGGATCTGCTTTGGAAGTCCAGAGAAGGAAAATGATATAGACCAGAAACTTGATTTTACAGTAAGAACATAATGAATAAATGAAGGTGAAGTAAAATTTTTTATTTGCATTGTTAGCTCAAATACTAATAGCAATAATATATTCAATTATAAATTATGCACTTATTCATGCTTACATATAAGTGAAATGAATGGCAGCAATAGACGAGAAAAATGAATTAGGGTACCCATGAAGTAGTATAGTGTTATTTGACATTGAACCTGGAATGGTTATGTATATATATATTGCAAACTCAAGAGCAATCACTTAAAAAGTAAACAAGTGTAATTGATATGCTAAGAAAGAGAAAATGAAACCATGTCATATTCTCAAACTACAAAAATGAAAAAAAGTGGGCCAGGGATTTAGCTCAGTGGTTTCGCTGCCTGCTGTGCAGGGGCAAGGACCTGAGTTCAATCCCCGGTACCAAAAAAAAAAAAAAAGTACAAGATTTAAGAAGAATGAACAAGGGCAACAGTAATAAATACAGATATTAATACAACTATCAGTGATCACTAAACACCATGCATCAATTAAAAGGAATGATCAACTAGGCATGGTGGCACACATTTGCAATCCCAACACTATGTAAGGCTGACACAGGAGGATCACAAATTCAAGTCCAGCCTACAGCAACACCCCTTAGTAGGATCCTGTCTAAAAACTTTAAGGGTCTGGGGCTGTATCTCAGTGTGAAGGCTCCAGAGTAAATCCCTAGTAATAAAGAGGGGTGGGGGAGGAGTGGAGCCACATGGGCACCAATACACCCCACCCCCACCCCCGCATCTGGCCACTAGGCCAAGCCAGCACTTGGATCAACACCACAGAGGGGCAGAAAGGACATTTATCTGAGCTCCAGAAGATAGAAGTGAACAAGAGAAAGAGGGCCTCTCTGACTCCTAGATGAGAACTGAAGCCTACTGGAAAAGTAAAATCTCTGCAATGAAGGCACACCAGACCACCATAGTTGGACCTTTCCAGGCCTCCATACCACTGTCCCTCACCATCAAGGAGCAGAGCCTCCCCCCCTACCACCACCCAGCACCAAGGACGTGAGCCCTGTAGCTGCCAGCAGCACACACCCCTACCTTCCTCCCTTGAAATGAGGAGACAGGTAAACAAGTCTCAAAACCAGACTTCCAAGTCACCTACAGCAACCCCAAAGGAAAATGAGATGGAACACTCTGATACTTAACCACCTGGACTCCCTGAGCTGGCAACAAAAGAGGATCTGGAAAAAATGAAATCAGAAATAATTTCTCAGATAACAGGAGAAATAGTGCTCCTAGTGCAAGACATGATTAATAAATCTAGAGAGGAGCTGAGGAACATGATGGAATCCCAACATAGGA